CTTCTTGAAAGCACAGAGGCGGAAAGGGATCTTGGAGTCATTATTGACTCCAAGATGAACATGAGCCGCCAATGCCAGACCGCAGCCAGCAAGGCCAGCCATACCTTGTCATGCATCCAAAGGTGCATCTCAAGCCGGTCCAGAGGGGTGATACTCCCCCTCTGTGCGACATTGGTCAGGCCACAGTTGGAGTACTGCGTCCAGTACTGAGTGCCACAGTTCAAAAGGGATGTGGCCAGTCTGGAGAGGGTTCAGAGGAGAGCCACCCACTTGGTGAGAGGGCAGCAGGACAGGCCCTATGAGGAGAGACTGAGGGACCTGAACCTGTTCAGCCTCAGCAAGAGAAGGCTGAGTGGGGACCTGGTGCCTCCCTACAAACTCATCAGGGGAGATCAACAGCAAATAGGTAGAGCCCTTTTCTCTCCAGCACCACCTGGGGTGACAAGGAACAATGGATGATCATCCATAAGCTGATGGAGAATAGGTTTAAGTTAGAGATCAGAGGGCAATATTTTACAGTTAGGGTGGCCAGAATCTGGAACCAGCTTCCCAGGGAAGTGGTCCTCGCCCCTATCTTGGGCAAATTCAAGAGAGGGTTGGATGATCACCTGTCTGGGGTCTTGTGAACCCAGCATTCATTCCTGCCTGTGGCAGGGGGTCAGGCTAGATGATCTGTTCAGGTCCCTCCTGACCCTAGCTACTATGAAACTATGAGCAGAGAAGAATGTCATATCAAGCTGACAGTGTCTTGCTGCTAGGTGCTCTTCAGCAGCGGTTGCCTTCGGGTCTGAAGGTGACTTTGGTTCAATGGTGACTAAGTGATGCCTACATGTACTAATTTGTAACATTCTTTAGGAGTTTTCTGCATCAAACCTATGTTTTGAATTCCTGTACTGATAATGTTGGTGGTAGTTATGTGTGGGCATTCCAGGGAGAATGACTTAGCTCTTCTAGATTGCTTTTCATCTAGAAAGCTCAAGGGACTCCATACAGAGGTTGCAGGGGCAGGGAAGGGGACGGGGAGAATTAATCCTAGTATGCCTTTTATAGATTAAAGAAACTGAAGCAGAGAGCAGTGACGTGACTTAGAGAGTCAATACCAGAGCCTGGAATAAACCGTCACCCATGTGATCTTTTGATGGCACAACCTGGTGATACAATGTCTACTGTTGGATGATACTGCACTAAGAACAACATAATCTGTCCTAGTGAAGTCAAAGTCCTACATTTTCAAAAGAATTTGGATGGGAGACAGAAATAGAGGGTGAGGGGGTTCTGTTTTACTGAAGGAACTCAGAAATTGATGCCACAGTTCTATTTCATAGATTTCATAGAGATTAGGGCTGGAAGGGACCTCGGAAGATCATCGAGTCCAGCCCCCTGCCCAAAGGGCAGGAAGTCAGCTGGGGTCATAGGATCCCAGCAAGATAAGCATCCAGTTTGCTCTTGAAGGTGTTCAATGTAGGCGCTTGAACCATCTCCGGTGGCAGGCTGTTCCAGACCTTGGGGGCTCGGACAGTAAAGAAATTCTTCCTTATGT